TCTGCCTTCACCCTGCCCCCAGCCTGAAGCCTCGTGTTAAACCTGCCTGTGCAGGTTGATGGGAGAGTGGGTCTGGGTTTTGGGGCTGCCCCCACTATGTCCTTTGACCCATATTGGAAATTGGGGTTGGTACAGAAAGGAAGCCCCCGGCAGGGGCTTTTCGGCTGCCCACCACACTAGAGCTACCTGTATTTCATCCTCATGTAGGATGGGCCCCAGGGCCCTTATGTTTGCGCTGACCAAATTGCTGTGAGCTACTGGCTTAGTTCTTGCTTTTCCAACTGTAAATGGGTTGAGCTTTTTTTTTTTTTTAAGGCTCATGTCATGAATCCTGTACTGGGAAGGGGTATTTCTGGGGTTGGGAGGAGGGTTTAAAGGATGTTGTTTGACCAAAACAGGCTGAGGGGCCAGGAGCTTTGCTGTGCTCAGCAGGTTCTCCGCATTTTTAGCTTTCTTCCTGCCCAAGGGGAAATGTGATCCCAGCAAGTTCTGCCAATCACAAGGCTGCTTTCAGTCTATTGCATATTGTGCAGTGAGGGCTAGGGAAATCCCACCTCCTTGCCCCTGGGCATCAGGGCCCCGCCTGGGGATGGCTTGAGATACATGGGCATCCTAGGTAGAGACTGGATCCGGCATCCTTCCCTTTTCTTTTCCGTCTCCCTGTGTGTGTGTGCTTTCTTTCCCAGTCAGTGTCCTCTCTGACTCTGCAGTGGCTGCCTGTAGTTCCTGAATGGGACTCTCAGCCCTTTGCACCTGAAATGGCAGGGCATTTGCTGCACAGGACAGAGAAGGGCAGGGCTGTGTTTTGGAGGAAAGGCTTGGTGAACCGCAGAGATGTTCGGAGCAGCTTGCTAGTGAGAGAACATGGCAATATGAACACTGTTCAGAGGTGCCTCTGTGAGTTCCTCGCCTAATGCCAGCTCTGATTCATGTTTCACCCACACAACAAGGATCCCCAAAAAGATGAAACTGAGGAGGAAGCACGGTCCAGTGATCGCGCAGGTCTGGGAGTTGTTCTATTCCTGGTTCTGCCACTGCCTTGCTGTGTGACCAGGTCACTTAACTTCTCTTTACCTCAGTTTCCCCATTTAAAAAAAGATGGGGATCGTACCTACCTCACAGGGGTGATGTGAGGCTTAATCCATTGCAAAGCAATTTGAGATCCTTTTGTGTAAGACACTGTGACTTCCAAGTAGTGGCAGTAACCCAGTACGCTCAAGTTCACTTTTCTGACACGCATAGTACCTGACACAAAGGGTAGAAGTGCAGGGAAGATGGATCTTGGCTCCTGACCAGCTTTCATTAGGCAGAGCCTATAAACAGCTTGTCCCCTTCACAGGGCAACAGCTGAATAGGTGGGTCGGTGGAGTTAGGGCACCATCTCAGAGTGGGTGGTTATCACAGCGCTGTGATCTTGGGCTAGTTACAAGCATACAGATTTCCATGTATTTTGCACTGTTTGCCGAATCTGCTGTAGGAGGCCCAGCCCTGGGGGAGCTGGCAGGGGACAGTTGGGAGGTACTGGGAAGACGGCTGTATAAGAAGCTGGGGACGCTGTCCTGAGTATCTTAAACTTCCGCTCTGTCCCTCGTCGTCTTCTCCAGATTTCTCTCCCAAGTAACTCCCAGCATTTCCAAACTGCCTGTTGAAACTTATCCCAAATTTTTCCTAAGCAAGTGCCATTTACTGATGCAAATTGGTTATTTAGAGCTGGTAACCTGGGTACCAAGTCTTTTCTGGAGTGTCCTCCTGGCAGCAACTAACCACTCAGGAGGTTGGACCTCAGACACAGTTGAGCATAGTCCAGTGCAGAGCGTGGGATGGCTTCTGCATTTTGCCATCGGTCTGTCTTCACAGCTCCCACCCCTAGATCTACACTGGAATCTGATGTTTCTCAATCTTTTGCCGGCTTTTTCTCAGGAATGTACCTAGCTTCCCCATCTCTACGGCCGTCGCATGACAGCGCTTTGTGTGACAAACTACTGAGAGTTCAGAAATAAGGGCCTGGCTAGTTTGTATCCAAGTAAGGGGGATAGGAGGAGGATAGTTATTAAAGCACAAAAAAAAAAAAAAAGGAAACTGTCTTACACATAGATTTAATGTGTCACGCACCACTGGCCCTGTGCAAAGACGTTTCGTGTACAGAGACAAAAGATTTCTTGCCCTATCGATGGTGTGCGGATTGCCCAAAACATTCGCTGTCATTACTGGAAGCTTTTGTTTTGCTGTACAATGCTGCAGTATTTTAAGGGCTACTGCAGTAGATAGAGTTTGAGTTTGGTATCCTGGCCGTGAACAGTGCTCTGAAATCTTTCTTCATACAGCTCAAAAGAGAAGTTGAACTGAGGATATGTTTGGTAGGATAGCTCCTACTTCTATGAGTTTACCATTAGTTACAACTGCCCACATATAGGCCTGATTCTTCAGAGGCTGCATCCCTGTAACTCCTGCTGTTTTCAGCTGGGAATGGCAGGGTCCTTGGCATCTCTGGGAATTGGGCCAGTAGCGCATGTGCCTTTTAATGATGAACATCCAAAGCCAGGCAGCATCAAAGCAGCCCTGTCTGAGCCAGAGCTTTGCTGTGTCTAATGCCCCCAAGTTTGTGCCCCTGTTACTGCCCATCTCCGGCTCAGACATCCCCTTTGGCAGTGGTTTTTACATGACTCACAAGTAACATATTTCCATTTTTTTTTTTTTTTGCTTTCTGTTAATGTTGTCCCCCATTCTGTTTGCCTCTGCAAAGCTGATCCACAGGCAGCTGTGTTCTACCATGGAAATGTAGTAACTGGGCAGAGATCTAAGAAGCAGTGGCACGCCGACGTGAAGAAGATCTCCACCTGGCACTGGTGTCTGCCTCTGAATATAGTCTGGCTGCTCAGTAAGGGCTTGCAAAGCTGAGAGGGTGGGGGAAGGGATCCCAAGTGACCAGCTAACAAAAGCAGCTCCACATTTCTGGCACAGGAGATTGTTGATGTCAAGGGAGTGATGCCATGTTTTCTAGTTTGAGACCAACTTTTTTTTTTTTTTTTACCACTGTTCCTTTTTACATGCCATATATGAAGCGAATCAAGTTCACAAGTCACATGTAGCATATTGCAATTATTTTGGATGGGAGGGATGGGGGGAGCAAATCCTTATTTGTTAAGAGAATCCACACGGTACTGTCCTCTCCTGCGGTGAGTAGATGAAGTCTTAGCAATGGGGCCAAGATATGTCTTTAACGGTACTTAAATTACTTCAGTTCTGGGTGTGCAGCAAAGAATGGTAACCATATTTTAGACACAGTAATTTATGTCAGGTGAGGAAGCTTGGCTGGCTGGGTTTTCTCTCACTTTTTTTTTTAAGTCACTCCAAACCCAGAAGTGGGGAGATGGATGTAGTTCAGTAAAACGGCCTGCAAAGGATCAGTAACCGTAGAATGGCAGATGCCCAGCGTAACCACTGGTACAAAGCCTGCTCTTGCTACAGAGAACTGTTGCATTGCAGGACTTGATGTTTTTATGGTGAAAAGGGCTGAGTCCAGGGGTTCATTAACACGCTGAATGACAGGTGCTTCCTCCTTCCTACAGCCTGTCCTGCATCCACCGCATTTGTTAAATGCAGCTATGCCTAGCAGGGTTGGATTTTTTTAACATGAATTCGATTGTAATTTAGCACTTTTTGATACTAGCTCATTATTTAATTAGTGAACCAGGGTTTCAGAGTATGAATAAAAAAGGAGTTCAGTTCTGGGCATTGTGCTGAAACAGTCTGTTCGGGACAGTAAATCCGAACAACCCAAGGGTGGCAGATTCTAAATCAAAGTGTTACATTCCTGAACACCATGCATCAATTTTGAAGGTGCTGTGTACTTACGCTTCATTCAGACTACCAGAGTATTTAACAGTGGTTTTGACTGTGACTATATGAACAAATAGCTTTGCAGTACTCTCTCCATCTGGACCTTGTTGCCAGGGAGAGGTGGTAACAGAGAAAGACAAGGAGTTGTGCACGGTTATTGTGGTCTCTGACAGACGTGACGGTTTAGGATGTGGTGCCCTGCTGCTTTATTAGAACGATACGTCCTAATGATTTGTCTTTCAACTCCAGTTGCTGCTGAACGTCTGGATTTAATTTAGTCTCATCCCAGCTGATGGTAAGGCTGAGAGAAGCAAACTGTAATCCCAAGGGCATAGACCTGCAAACGATTAGGAGGTGGAAGTCGAGACGTTTGTTAAGTTGATGAATTTAGGAAACCTAACATTCCTTGTTACACATACGTGGCAGTTCATGCTGATGTAACTGTAAATATTCGGTGTTTGGCCGCACAGTCAGTTTGGAGAGATTGCGAATTGAACCTCTGCCTGGGAGGAGGGTGAGCTTTCTTTCTGATGCATGAGCTTTTGAGGTTGGCTAGATGCAAAAGTGGTGATGAAGACTCCAAACTTTCTGTTGTCTTCAGTGACCCAGCAGCCCCCAGTGCAGTTTTCTAGCCAGATCTTCCTTTTCTTAGTTGGTAGACGTGACAGTAGCTTTGGCCGTTCATCTCCCTTTCGGTTTGGTACAGTTTTCAAGGTACTTGCCTGCTGGCGGCTCTCATCCTGGACCCTGCCTCTTCCAGTTGTAGTGACTCCCGCTGCCCTGGTACTTTGCCATTTGTACAGTATTCCGGCTCTTGCCTTCATACAGGGTTTCTCACAGTATCAATTTCTGGTGCTGAATGTGATTTTAATGCTAAGCGCTGCACCTGTTCCAGTACCTACTTTGCAACAAGGTAGTTTCAGCCTTTTGCTTCACTTTCTTCCTGTTTTCAAAGAGCAGATTGTATTGTAGAGACCTCCACTTATATATGGTCTGGGTCCAGCCTGAGAACTCTAGCTAGATGCTAAGATTAATTGTTGTCCTTTTTTGTAGCAAGGGGGCAGAGATCACTGTGTATCAAATTAAAGCTGCACTATTGTTTTTTATTATTATCGTTCCGTATCTACTAAGAACGCTAATGTCAGAGGTTCAGCTCTGTTGTTGGTCTTGCTTTGGGACTGTTCATCCTAGAAGAAAGGAACATTTGGGATCTGGGTGCTTTGTGGAGATGCATCCCAACTTCCTCCCCTAGAGAGAGTTATATAGCATCTTCATGGATGTGCTTCTAATTTAAAAAAAAACAAAAAAAAAACTCAGCCGGAGTCCGGCTGTGACATACAGACCAGGCACCAAATGGTACCTCTGACCATTCCTTTTTTCTGTATCTGTGAAAATGAAGTAGGTTTAATTGCATTTACACTCCCCCTACATCCCCAACCCATTTCAGATTCCTCAGTAGGATTTTCTCTTAGCAGTTGCATCACTTGAAGACGTGTTCATTTGATAACTAGCACTCTGCAACTCCACACTCCCTTTTAGATCCCACACTGGCATATCTGGGATTACTTTGCAGCATTTCACTTTTAAAAGGAAGCAACTTTGCTGCTCTTGCAATGGTAGATCTAGCTCAGACATCTCTTTCTTGTCCTTCGAAGAATAACCTGAGATTCCCCAACAGGGCAGAGAACAGTCAAGTTCAGTTTGCAATGTAGACATTTTTGCTAATTGTGATGTATGGCAGTGGGACTGATTTGTAATACAAATGTTATTTAATCTTTGTCTCTGTATTTTGATACTTGAATTATTTCCTTTTATTTTCTTGTACATACAATTGTTGATCTGTTCAAATTTTGTCTGAATTTTAAACATCTTGTGGTACCAAACGTAACCAATCTGTGCAACAACATAGACTGACCTCACTACAACAAGGCGAGATTGTAAATATTCCTGGGCTTCCAGCAGTCGTTCTGTTGTTTTCATAATTGTACAACTTAGAACAGACTGAATAAATAAACTTAGACACACACACGTGTGCCTCCGTTATTGGGATGTAAATGCTATGCAAGTCTTTTGCTTTAAACACGTGGAGCTCCATTCTAGGAATGCGAATGTGACGCCACGAATGTCTGGTGCCTTGTACAACAGACGGTTGTTTTGGTTGGACAAGCAGAAATGTTTTATTCTCCTTCATGTTCAAAGGAAAAAGTGACTTCTCCTGGTTTCCCTGACAGCCCTCTCTGCACTTACTCCATTTGCCTTTCAGTCATCTCTGCAAAAGCTCTTACACAATGTAAAACAGCTGCAAGCAGACAACCGTAGGTTCCCTCCTTGCTGAGCTTTCAAGTGTGGAACCTGCATTTCCCATCCAAAGCAATGCTACCTTCCTTCTCCAGAAGATGGGTGACTTGTGCAGCAGGTAGGCAAATTGTGGGGAGCTGGGCACTGGCTCTTGTATGCTGACTTCTGACCTCAGCTGCATGAGATGAAGGATACTGCCAGGTAATGGTTTTGCTCAAGATAAAGATGACATTTGTAACTTGACTTGTCTCCACTCACCTCGCTCAGTGTACTGTTGAGTACGCCCATTTCTTTGGTGTGTGTGTGGCAGCTGGCTAGTTGCACTCCTGCTCTGTCTGACAGAATTGAGGTTGCCCGGGCTGCAGAACCCCACTTTTTGTGTTGCCATGTAAATTCACCACTCCCCAGCCGATGAGACCACCTACAGCAACACGGAAGCAATGGCAGGTTGGGGTGGGGGGAAGAAAGAGGCCGACTGTTTTTGCAGCGTAAAGGTTTATTCAGACAGCCCTGGTGCATTGGCCATTGTTGTTTATGCAATTCTCCCCAAGACCTATGATGGCCCAGCTGTGCTAGTGCGTGGGCTACTGCTATACCAAGCCGGGGCAGCTGCTTCAGTGGCTGCAACTGACTTCATAAGCTAACGCATGATTTGAAAGACTGCCCCAGAGTCCCTCTCCCCATCCTGCTCCCACTGCCTTCTATGAGGTGGTTAAAAAGAATCGATCCCAGCCTCTGGCTCCACCTCTGGGAGGAGGACTTTCTTCAAAATTCCTGAATAGTAGGGTCCAAACACCTGCCTATTGTGATGAGTCACACTGCCAAACCTGCGGCCGACTTCCCTCAGTTCTTCCCGAATAGGAGCGAGGCCTTTTGGAAAGTTCTCGAGAGAATTCTGTTCATTAGGAGACAGGCAGAGGCTGAGGAACGAATGGATCCGTTGCTCTGTGGGTATCAAAATAAAGGTGTGATAGGAACAGATTTTAATACAGTGATCCAGCTAGGAAAGAATCGATCCTTCCGATGGCTGGTGCATGGATTCAGTGCTGCAGAACAGGTGCATGCTCAGAATGCTTTCCTGCTTCTGGTCTTTCACATGGTTCACATGGCTTCTCGGCCTCTTGAAGGCTCAGATCAAGTGTAGTATATCAGGAATGTAATGCACTTACCCCCCTGCCCCCCACCACCAAATGTCAACAGAGAATATGGAATTCAAGATTATGCTTCTACCAGAGCCAGGGATTAAATTTAAACAGCCATAATGCCATGTTTTCAAATGGAAAAGAGGTTTCAAATGTGTCCCCCAGAGAACATGCAGCTGGGGTTCAGCCAGCCAGCTGCCATATAGAATTGCTTTATACGAAGTGTGTATCCAGTGGTTCTGAGAGGAGTGACTGGTCCGGGGTGACTTTAATACTGAGAACATATTAATTCAGTGTTTGATTATCTCAGCTGCCTGGGGAGCAGTGAACACGCAGAGGGAAAGGCTGCTTGGTAACATGACTTTGGGCTCAAATGTTCTGTACTATCACAGCAGTTGGGTGAGTCACCCTCACTGCACAGGCTGAGTTATCTCAGAACTTCAAGATTCGCCTCAGGCCACTGCTGCAGCTTTTTAAAGTGCTTCGCCTTATCCCACCTGCTCTGGCTGTGGAGGGAATGAGCACAAATTGGGGCAGAGTCCAGTGAGGCCAGGAAGACAAACTCACCTGTACCAAGCAGCGGGTGGAAAAATCCTTTGCCCTGGTTTTTCTAATAGATAAAAGCAAGAGTCCCATGTGAAAACACTTAGAAGCTGTGGACCCAGGATATTTCCCCTACAGTGTGTTCAGCTGCCTGCAGTACGGCAGTACCACAGGGAGCCCATGTTCAGCAGCAAGTAACAGCCGACCTAGCAAAATCCCTTGGTCAATAGTTTGAACAGAGCAACATTATAGGGCAAGGGGTTGCCAAGTGCAAGGCTGCAAACTTCCTGGGGAGACCTCTTTGTCTTGGTTGTAAGCGGAGCCCTTGTGGCAATTTGCAGAGCCAGTGATTTTAAATGAATCGTTCTTCCATTCTGACAGTTGTGACACCATGCAGTGATACAGGCCTCATGCACGGGGCAGAGATTACGGCCCCGGGCATGAGGCCTGTATCACTGTATGGTGATGTACTGGCTCAGGAACGTTCCATTCCCAGCGAGTTTTGCATTGCTCAGGACTCACCCATGACACTTCGAACTGCGTTGTCCTTGTCTGTGATGCTCTTTATCTGCCCTTTGAGGGAAGCAGTTTTGTCACTGCTGAGAGGAGGACAACCCAGCTGAGAGAGAGTCCGACTAGCTTCTTGGCATACTTGATGGCCGATGTCCAGTAAAGCTTCCTCAAACCTAGAATCGTGTAAAGGTTTGTGACGCTCACTCTGGCTGCTGGTTAGGTTTGTTACAGGGGAGGAAGCAAGTCCCACAGCATTAGTACAGCCAGGGAGGTCTCTCCACAGGCCTGTGGGCATGTGTGGTGTGGGGGACAGCCAGCCATGCTGTTTCGGTGCCTTCCATCATTCATGGACTAAGCTCTCCTTGCTCTGCTCTTTGGCAAGAGCCAGCAGTGGCAGGAAGCTACTCTGGTGCTCCCTCCCATGAGGAAAGGATCAGCACCACTGATTCTTCATCAGCCAGTGAATCGCCAAGCCTAGGGTAATGGTTCCCAGCTGGAAGGGGTGGCCAGCTCCTCCCCAAGGCAGTTGATCTGCCTAGTGATTGGCTCTCTGCTAGTCCTGGAGCTGAGTCCAGCAGTTTATCTCATAACCAGCTGTCAATGGCATACTCGCCCATCTCCTGGCAAACAAAGCATTTCAGATAACCCACCTGGTATGAGGGAGCCCTTCCAGGAGGACCTCTGTTACCCGTTTCAGCCTATCTACAAACCCAGGTGAGCTGCACAAGGCGCTTCCACACACGCCAGTGGTCACTAGCAGGACCGCAGCTATGATGGTAAGACGATTCACCTGTGATCGTACTTCCTGCAGCCGAGCTTGATCCATCAACAGCGTCTGTGGGGAAGGGGGAAGGAGCTCAAATCCTCCTTCCAGGCATGGAGACTGGAACTATGCTCACTGAGCAGGTAAGTTCTCAAGCAGAGGGCAAGGTCCATGGACACCCTTGCTATCTTCTAAAGCTACAAGGGAGGGATCCAGGAAGGGGGAAGGCTCTGAATTATGGACTAAGCTCAAACTCCAGCAGCAGGGGAGGTCCTTTTGTGCTGGGAGGACCCTAGCTGGTGCAAGAGGGGAAGTCTGTCTCGAATGCCATACCTCCCCTACCGGAGGGACTGTGCATCCAGCAAATGCTATTTTCATCCCCGTCAGTCCTATTGCTGACTCTGAGACAGGGGGGCAGCCTAGGAACCTGTCCTGGGGGTTTTTGCTTGTATTTAAAGTCAGTTCTGTCCCCCACATAAAGGCATCGGAGCCCCTCCCTGTCTGACCAGAAGGTGACTCCTACCTCAGGATATTTTTCTTGTCCAGGCTCCCAATGGAGCAAACTCATGTAGCCTTGGTTTAGCACAGACGTGGGACTTGGAAGGTCTGAACTCCTGTGGGCTGCCCCCTGTAGGGATGAGGCAGGTGGGATGTTGGACTCAGGCTGGGATGGGGGCAGCAAAGGGGATGCAGAGGCGTCTGCTGCTGCTTTGCGTAGCCACTCTGTTGTGTGATCCAGGCTGCCTGCAATGGGATTAGAGAGACATATGCAAGAGACTGGACAGGGCAGGTGAATGATGGAGCTCTTAACAGCAGTACAGCCTCAAAGTACAGCAGAGAGGAGCTCATTAAACCTCTGCTTTAGTGTTCCAGAAACACTTTGCTAGAGGTGAATATGGTCTGATAACATTTTGCCACTTCCTTGTGAAGTGCTCTGTACACACTCCCTGGCTCTCACGAGCCCCTTTGGGATGGGGATTCTCTCCATTTTGTGAAGGGAAAAGTTGTAGCAGATTAAACAGTCTGCTCATTGCGAGCCAAGTCTTGGCTTGGGTGAGCTCATGCTCTAACCCTACAAATCCTTGACTGAGGATTGAGTTAGCCTATGGTTGTGTGAGGCCTCAGCAGACAGACAGCCAAGCACCTCCCCTTCCTGCTGTAGTTTGGGAATTTTAATTCTTGCCCAGGCTCCTGCTGTGCCACAGGATTCCTAGTCCTTGGAAAAGTACACGTGAAGGTGAAGCAGCAAACCCCAGCAGTTCTCTCCCTTTCCCAGACTTACTAGGCAGCTTGTCTAAGAGCTCCTGAAATTTCTTCTGCTCATATTCGATGGAACGGTCCTGCAGGTGGGGACGGAGGCTCTGGATAGTGAAGTTCACCATATCCATTTTCATCAAGTCAAGCACCCTGAAAATCTCTCTGGGGTTCAGTGAAAGAGAAAAAAAGGCTAGTTATGAGTAATGGGAGGCCCTATCTCCCCAGACTTTTACTGGGGAGAGTTGTAGAGCAGGACACAGACTGCCCAGAAAGCTTCTAGAAAGTGGTGAGGACCCTTCTGATACAGTGAATGAAGAAAGCAACTAGTGGGAGGCTCTTCTAGATTTCTTTCTAACCAACAGGAAGGAACTGGCTGAGAAAGTTACAGTGGAAAGCACTTGGGTGACAATGACTGTAAAGCGATAGTTACGGTCCTTAAGAAGAGGAGGAGGGAGAACAGCAGGAGAGAGACTCTGGACTTCAGACGTCAGTAAACTTGAAAACTTGTGGACAGGACTGCCTTGGAAGCAAGTCTAAAGAGAAAAAGGAGTTCAAGGGAATGCTCAGTATACACGAGTGCAAACAAAAGGTAGGAAGAGTAGCGAGAGACCAACTTAGTTAAGTCCTCAACTACTCAATGACATGAAGCTCAGGAAGGCACTGAATGAAAACTAGGAACTAATTCAAGTAGACAAGTAGAAAGCTACTGTAGAAGCCTGTTGAGGCAGGACTGAAAGCCAAGGCAGAAAATGAGATGAGCAAGGGGCACCAAAGATAAGACAACATGCATTGGGGCAGAGGGATGGACTCAACCTCCCTACAGAGCTTCCAGTTCTACATTCTATGATCCTGTAAGTGCCTTATGAGGAGTTGGTGAGCCAGCTCCAGCTAGGGGCAAATGACACCAATGCCAAGATGAGCAGACAGCTCCATGCTTCAGTTCTGGGCATGACCACAAAGAGCTTCCTTCGCTGCTAAGCAGCAGCGAGGTGTTAGAAGCTTGCACCAATTTTTCATTAACAAGCAGAAATTCAATATCCCTGGGGAGGACGAGCTGAGGTCCAAAGTGCTTTAAGGTCCTACTGAGATGCTGGTCCTGTGCAAGAGACCCTGGACATCCCAGACACTGTTCTACTGGTATGGGATACACTGGTTTATGGCAAGCCCACCTGAGCAACTGAACTGGGTCTGTCAGGCTTCGCAGTCTCTGCACTTCCTCGTCTCTGATGGGTGCGCACAGCATTGCCATTGTGCTGAGGATGTACATGGTGAGACTGGGAATGTCTAGTGCCCCATGTTCAGCCTCCTGCCTGATCAGCTCCATATCCAGGGCAGCTTCAATCTGGCTCCGCAGGCGGGTTTGCCGTGGCAGCAGCAGTGACAGTAGGGTCTGCCCAAAGGGAAGAGATGAAGATGGAGATTTCCATTGCAACCAAGCAACACCCCTACCTTCCCAGAGTTACTCAGCAGGAATCCAAGCTGGCTTCATGGGTCTGGAGGCCCAGGAATGTCTGTCCTTAACTGCTCCCTTTAGGGATGCTCAGAGTGCTGAATGACTAATCATTGCTCCCTGACTGAACAGTTTTTGTTCTGTATTACAGTTATATCTGTAATGCTCTTTAAAGGTTTTTTGGAAATGTGTATCCTGTCAGGACTGGGAGGGTATGGGCTGAGTAAGGTAAGTAATGTCTGATGCTACGAGGAAGGTCTGGCTGTTTTGATAGTTTTAAATACTGATTTCTTGTTTAGTATGTTGTGTGATGGACATTAAAGATGGATGCTTGTGTATAATGAAATGGGCATCTTGTTATACAACTTTTGGTGTCTTATATTTAGCAGAGATTATGCATGGAAAGGCATAATCACTATTACTGTAAGGGGGATTTTTGTCAAGGTACTTTCTCAGTTTGGTAGAGTGTTTTTACTATGTGGATAGCTCTTTGCGTTGGTGATGTTATGTTTGTTGTTTGGTACGCATCTCTCCCAGGATTCATTCTGTATGAAGTCTTGTAAAAACAAGGTTTTTATAATCTAATTCACTTTTAATTAAGGAAGCATGTATTTCAGTACATTTGGGCTTAGAGGTAGAAGACCCATCTCAATAAATTGGAGTACAGGCAGAAGTCACTGGAACTGTGCCACTGAATTCAACAAATGGAGGTTTAGTTTTACATGAAGCAAAGGAAGGGGTCAGCATTGTGTTAAAAAGAAAGGGCAATATCCCCTTAGCAAAGCCATCAACAAATGCAACTGGGGAAAAGGAAAATGTAGAAGCTGTTCTACCGTCTGTGGGTTAGCCCTCTGGACTGCCCGACTGGGTGTTCCCCAATTATAAGCGAATCGGGGAGGTTTGGGCTACACAGAACCGGTCTTCAGTAAAAGACTAGATTAGCTGTTTGTCCTGTCTCAGGAGCCACTCACCTCTTTGATTTCCTGCAGCAGCCGGATGGCGTGCGTGTAGTCTGGTGGGCTAGTGGAGAGCCGTTCTTTCAGGCTGTCCCAGAAGGCTTTGTGCAATGTCTCCTTCACTCTGCTTTCCAGGCTGCGGAAAGGGGGTGGAAGGTCAGTACAAATACCTGACTAACATCAGCCATTTATCTCTTGCTGATGTTATCTGTTGCTGTGGAGGGAGCCATGATGCCTCCTTTCCTATGATCTTCCCTCCCTTTCCTATGATTGTACAGTCACCATCTAGAACATGGAATACAGAATGAAGCTCTGAATCTTTTCTCCTGCCTGGAAGCAACATACTTTAGCACTCTTCCAAAGTGGGGCTCCTTCCTAGCAACCTTTCACCAACACTGATGCACTTAATCTTACTTTGCCATGTAGCAAAAATCTAGGCAGCCCCACCCAGCTGCAGATGTTTGGCCAATCTGCAAGCGTTGCAGGTAACTCCTTTCAGGGCCCTAAACCACTACTCTTATCCTTACAGAAGAATGAGAGGATACCTTTCTATAAGGCATCTGCTTTGCAATGAGAAGGATGTTCTGGTGGTGAATTGTCCCAGGCGGAATGCAGGAAATCTACGACTAAAGTGCAGAGAGATGAGCACGCTTTGCTAAGAAGTCAACAACTCTTCTCCTTTGCTCAATATTTAAGAAAAGGTCACTGTCCATACGTGACCTCACTGTCCTACAGTGAAATCGGGGCTAAACGTGTAGCAGGGCCAAAGCCACAGGGGTGGCCGTGACACCGGTGGCCTCTGCCTGGCTCAGGCTCTAATGTAGCCCTCCCGTGTTCGCTTCCTCGCCACACCTTGTTTTTATTGAAGGTTGTGTAAGGAAGGTTGTGCCTATGGGCTCTGAGCGAGCCTGGGCCTGTGTCCCTCACCACTGGACCCCTCCTGGGTCCCCTCAATCACAATCCTGTGCCCCTAGGCTAGTAGGCCCGCTTGGCCTTGTCCATACCTCTGCCAGGTACTTGTAGCCTCAAGGGCTCATTGCGTGGCTTGGCTTTGCTTCCCTACACCACACCCCAAGCCTTGCGGATGTTCTCTCCTGTTGATGTCTATTTCTGTTTCAACAAGCCCCCCTGGTCCTTTACACAGTTTTATTCTGAATTCTTGGACCCCTGGTCCTGCACGCAGCCCCTACTGGGCTTGTGGGCTCTCTGGTCCAGCTCAGCCCTTCCTTGGACACACAGATCCTCTGTGGGTTTAAAATAAAGGCCATTTGCTTGTAAAACCCTGCCTTCCTCTGCCCAGGTAGCCCTCCTCTTTTCTCAGACCTGCAAGGTTTTTTACATGAACTCCAGTCCCTTCAGGAGGCCTGTTGCCAGGAGCTCACTTTGGTGGCCAGGGAGAGACCACCTGACCGGCTCAGGCTCTGGGCTTATATAGCTCCAGCATGAGCCCTCTTCCCATTAGGTGAGCCTCTCATTAGCCCCCATAGGCTGCTTGTGCCCTTGAAGAAGCAGGCACACCCTGGTGCTCTGCTACAAAATGCCAACTTTAGTTTTTATATTTATGAATATAAAGTTGTGGAAAAAGCCTTTCAGGCTTTCTTGATTCATAAAGCCATGAGACACCAAAAAATACCAATTCCACAGGCTACTAACAGCTTTCTGTCACAACCACAAAACTTTCCAGGCTTGAGCCCTGAGCTAGAAGGAAAACCAAGCATAACATACCTGTTTGGTGCAAAGTTCACTTGTTGTACCTTGAAGTCATGATTCAGCACAATCTCATGTGCAATGGTCATTCTGGACACCTCTTGAGCAGTCTCTAATAGTTCGGCCATGGAGAGAGCTTGTGGAGGACTGGCTACAGAACAGGATAAGAGAAATTAATGAGACTTAGGTCATTTGGAGAGAACATAACTAATTATAATCTTAGATCCAACGTTTAACAAAAACAGAGTCTAAAAATAAATGTAATATGAATGGAGATTTAACATGAATGTGTTTGAGAAGAGGGACTGAAAAATCCCTTGAGAATATTACAAACAAAGCTTTTGGCTGATGACTGAACTGTGAAATGGACAAAAAGGGGAAAATGACCATTTTTAAACCATTAAAATGTATTTTTCTAAATGGTTAAAAATTAAACATCTGAACTTTTTCCCGTGGAACTCATAAGATAAACTTTCACTGACTTCAACGAGAGGCAAATGTTGGCACATTTAAAATTTCAGTAATGGGTGGTTGTTGATAACAGCAATATGGGAAACATTGTTTAAAATAGCTTCCTGCGGACCGCGTAAGCCCCCGGTTTGAGTGAGCTGAATAAAAAAATCATATAAAAGAGCTGATGTCAGTTAACTTGTCTTGCTCAGAAGCAAGCATCTCAGATTTGTTTTTCAAGAGGTTCCCTCCATTGGGGAATTTGCTCACTTTAAGTAGCTGAAAGTGCAAAGGGTCAGGTCTGCCTGTATTGGTTGATGCATACCTAGAAAACCAAGATGTATCAGCTACCTTTCCCTCCCCTCCCCCAGCCCCTTATACACACAAAATAAGATCCAGGTCATCTGAGAATTCAAGCTGTGAAATAACCTGGAGTCACATCTTTGGTACAAGCTCTTTCCCTCAGACCAAGGGAATACGTTTCGACTTGTACGATGGTGAAGAAAGAGCGACACCTTGTGACTACTGAAAAAGCAGATGATTTAGATTCTAACCGTCCAGTTAACCCCACCCGGTGCTTGTTCACCAACCCCAAGGGCTTGGATCTCTCATGTTTTTCCCAGAAAGCCACAGCAGCTCTTTCCCCTTGGGGTGCAAAGTCCAGCCTTGGATTCCCAAGCACCAGATGAAAGACATGAGCACAGCACGGAGTGGACTTTACATTTTCTGTTCTCTAGCCACCCCGTCTACCCTGGAGGCCCAGGCCCATGTCCTGTGTGATCCTAGGTTCTGTCACGCCCTGGCCAGGAACGGTTTGGGCAGGGGTGCTGAACGTCTGGGCTGCAGGCCGGATCCGGCCTATGCAACCGTATGATCTGGCCCATGGGTCTCGAACTGACTCGTGTGGCATGCAAAGCCAGTCTGGTCCACAGGATGGACCCAGCACCAGGGGTGACATTACACACAGTCTGAGGTTGGTCCAGGGTGTGATGCAGGTGGTGCCTGTACCAGCTTGGTCCTGTGCGCTGGCTCTGGGGCTGCTCCAGATTGGGCAGTGCCAGAGCCGGCATGCGAGGCCAGTCTGGCAGAGCCCTATGCAGCGTGTGCCATCAGCCTCGTGCTGCGTGTAACCGGTCCACCCTCACGTGCAGCATGCGGCAGCCCTGCTCCCGGGCTCACTCTGCACGTAGTGCGTGGGGTGCCCGGCCGGCGTGGCCTTGTACGTGCACACAGCCTGGGGTCCAATCCAGGCCAGCCCCGCAGGCAGCACGTGGCCAGTCCACCCCGTGTCGAGTGAGCCCTGGAGCAGGGCTTGTGCATGTTGCACCGTGCGCAGAGCTGGGCCCTTCCCCTCAGCAGTGCCTTGTTACACTGCTGCATGCAACGCGCTGGGCGATGCGGGCCTAGAAGGCCCTGACTGCACTGGCACGCACAGACCGGGACCTACAGGGCGGGACAGCAGGTGGGCAGAGGCTGGGCACATCTCCGCGCGGGGTCTCCTCCGGCTGCCGGGCCTTCCCAGGGCTGCAGGGCACCTCCGGGTCCTCGCTGTTGCCGAGGGGTGTCTTCTCCCCAGGGTTCGGCATCCTGTCCTGGAGGAAGGGAGGAGAGGGCTTGGCCAAGGCTGGTGGGCAGCACAACCACACCCCAGGTCTGGAATGGGAGGGGGGCCAGGCAGGGAACCTAGGAGGGCCCCTGGGCAAGAAGAGTCCAAGTAGCTGGGGGCTGGGGGCACATAGGTCCCAGGATGATACCAAAGTAAGGGGGGGGTCCCAGGACCATACCGAAGTAAGTGGGGGGGGGTGTCCCCCAAAAGAGACCAAGGTCCCAGTGGGGTCCCAGGACGATACAAAAGTTAGTTAAGTGTGGACGGTCACCAGGAAAAGACCAAAGCAGCCGCGGGGCGGGGGGGAGGCACACAGGAAGATACCAAGCTGATGGGGAGGGGGTCCCCAGGGAAAAATCGAGGTAAGTGGGGGGGTCCCCAAGAAGAGACCAAAACAGGCGGGGGGGGAGGACGATACCAAGGTAAGTGGGGGTGGGTCCTAGGAAGAGCCCGAAGTCGGGGTGGGGTCTCAGGAAGAGCCCAAAGCAGGCGGGGTTGGGGGGCAGGACGAGACCAACGAAAGTGGGGGGGCCCCAGGAAGAGATCAAGCTGGCGGGGTCCCCGGTAGGCAGGGCTGGCGGGCGGCGATACCGGGCCTGCTCCCTCGGCGGTGCGCTGTGCCCGGGGCCCGGCAGCCGGGGCTCTGGCCGGTGTCTCCGCCCGCGGGCGCCGTTGGTTCGGCGGCTGCTCTGCCCGCGCCGGCTTTGAACTGGGCTGAACCAAGTGTG